GCCCCTCTGTTCTAGAAACTTGGAACCAATAAGAAGGTAAATTTGGAGTGAAACATCGGTCCACAAATTTCCTCTGAAGGGATCAGATTTCAGTGGATAACATGAAGCATTCTCAGGCTTGTCACTTCTTAAGGTATGTCTATAGGCATGTCATAATTTAGTAAAAATACATTAAACTGTTAACTGCTAGCAAGCCATATTGTCTGGATGTTATGTGAACAAGTGGAAATATTACACTGTCCTGACTTATAAAGGAAGGGTGCTCAAAGAAAGTAGAAAGAAAGAAAAGAAAATGTGAGTTGAGAATTTAAAGGAAGTATTCACAACTTAGAAATTCATTTTTTTAGGATAAAGACAAAGAGAAATATAAATTATATTTTTTAAGAGGAGGGTGGACAACATAAGAAAATATAAGATTGTCAGATAAACCTGGGATTAGATTAGGTTTGTTAGACCTTTTGCTGCATTGTAAGAATGTACAACGTATACAATATCAGTAGTCAATAGCCTAAGCTAATATGATCGACAACAGCTAACAGCTGACACCGTGATATCTGCTTGCGTACCTGGACAAAAATGGGTCAGAAGAAGGCACCATTGGCTGAAAAAGAGGCCTCCGGGTTCAACTGTCCCCCTCTTACAATGCTGTGATTGTTAGTATCACTCAGCCCTCTGTGAACAGTAAACAGCCATCAGTGTGCTAATGACCCATTGTTAGGCTGATGGTCCTTCTTGAGCATGTGATCAGCTGGTTTTGGTTGTCAGCAGCAAACTGGTTGATCCACTCTGAGAAGGTGCTATTTAAGAGACTGAGCTGAAAACAGCACCTCAGACTGAGGAAGTCTCTTAGATGAGAGACGAAACGTTTCTATATTTGTTTGCTTTGTTTTTTGTTTTTTTTGAATGTGCAGAGAGGACCAGATTGAACTTTTTTCGATTATCACTGAAAGCCTCTTGTTTCCGACAGATTCTTATGCTTACCTTATATTATTCTTCCTTTCAAATAATCCTGTGTAAAAAATTCTCCTCTAATAATAAATTATACTTACCTTCTTATCTGTGTGTAGGACTGTGTCAGTTTACCTATTCTTGGCTTAAAATTAATCTGAATGTGACAGCCTGAAGGATATGCCTTTATGCAGATGGATCAACAAAACAAAGGAGGTGGTGAGGTTGTGATACATAGTATGTGGAAAAAGTCTGAGATTCAAAGTGCTGGATACAATGTCAAATGTTGTTAATGATTTACTAGAATGTATATCAATTGAAATCTTTAAAAAAATCTGCTGAAACCACATGACACGCTACAGCCAATACCGAAACGTGACACCGAAAGAAGAGTGACGTTTCAATACATACACCGGCCAGTGCAGTTCGGTCGGTGCCATAAAAAAACCTCGGTTCAGTACTCAGCCCTATTCATTACTGTATAACGAAACAGAAAAAACTTACTATTAGTAAGTTTTAGAGAAGGTTGGGATTAAACACATTTGTACTTATTTTTTAAACAAATATACGTGTTTTAGTGTTATTCCTTTTGACTCAAAGAACTAAAGCAGCCGAAACAGCGAGAGACTCAAAAGGGCTGTGAGCACTCCCACAGCTCCCCATTACCTTTTTGGTACAACACTTGCCCGCAGTAACATGAAACAAAACGAGCATCGAGACGTGGAGAACTCGCTTCAGAGGAGTAGACTTGGAGCTTCAAAGGATTACATGTGTGATATACATGTATGCTTCCGTCATACCTTTCTTAAAACCTGATAAATTAATCTGGCATAAAGATTTAATCCCTTGATTTTAGCGATAACTGTAGTGAGCTCGGCCTCCGACCAAAACCTGCCTCTGAGGACATTCAGGGGACAGGAACTGTTATTTCATTGATTTGAATCCAGAAATACAAATTAGCTCATCCCGAGACTGTCTAATTGTATCCTGAAGTAATCAATTGAAAGAACACTCTTCTTTTATATCATCATTACTATTTTACGATATCTTGATAAATCAAAAGAGTGTTTAGTTCATACCATTTCTAAATGTTGAAGTGAACCACTCATTTTAAATCAACTGTGAAACGGTATTAATGATTTTTTAATCCTCATTTAAATTAGAAATCAAGTTAAATGTCTATTTTACAAAGTAATTATGCATTTTTGATCTTCTGTCTAAATGAGAAGTAGTGATGTTGGTCGAAAGTCAGGAAGAAGTTATTAGAACGAAGTGTCGTGTTTTTAAACCTAGCAGACGGTAAACAAGAAGCTACTGGCCTTTCTTCCTCCCACTTCGCTATAACATGTCTTCTGTCTGTACGGGACATTTCTAAAACATTCCTGCTGTTTTCTTGACTTGTAATGACCCTCTGACATCACTAGAACCACCCCCTGTTGGTTGCTTCAACCAATCAGGAAGTCCTGAGGTGACCGGAAGTGAGAACTCTTTAAGAGTCCACACTTCCTGGAACTTCTCAGGTCTCAGGTCAACTGGGTCTGTCAGTCAGTCTGTCAAGTCTCCTGAGCTCCTCAAGTGGGTCTCTGATGAAGTCTAGTCTTGAACTTAGTCTTCGGAGCCTGTGATGGATCCTTCCACATCTGAGTGGAACCTCTTACGGACTCACAGCTTGCTGTGTATCCAACCGGGAGATGAGCGTGTTTGTTGAACGGAGTATCGTCACTACTTCGGACGATTCTCAGCCATCCTTACCGGAGACGCTGAAAGGTCGCGTTGAAATGGACTCCTGTTCCCGAGTGGAGGTATCCTCGTCTAAAGGTAACGAGTCGCCACGCACCTAGTGTACCAGGGCTGAGCTGGGGTCGGATGAAGGGTGCCATTCCCAGTCAACACACTTTCCTCTTCATTCATCTAAATCCTCCTCTTTAAACTCCTTCATTTCCCATCTTTAAACTCTTCTATTTTGCCAGTAATTAATCTAGATGCCTTCAGAAATGTCTGTTGTTTTTATTAAGTAAAACGTGCCAAGTTTTATTAATCAGAACCAGATCAGCTAATCACTTGTACATTATGATGTTAAATTTTGATTCTGTTCAATAAATGACCACATTTATTCTGATGGGTCAAAGAAAATTAACGTCTCATGTCACTGATTAAACAATCTACGCACAGTTACCTCGGCCACATGGGTGTAATTTAATTCGAAAAAGAGAGAATCCATTTATTTAAATATATTGTAGTCAAGGGCAGCTAAAACTTTGCCCTTAGAACCCTACAATAACACACCTCCATTTTTCAAGTCTACACTCTGTTAAAGAGAAAAATAACCAATATAAAAATTGACAGATTTGTTGTTTATTTTTTGGAGGGTGTACCTAAAATAGGTTTGGGCTGCAACAATGCAATGCAACATTGGTTCCACCTACTAAATCTTTTAGCCTGGGAAAAAATAAAATTGACTTCAGTGACGTCAGGCCCCGGGTCCCGCGCCCCATAGTTTGAGAACCACCATGTTAACCAGAGTATGTGTTTGATTTAAATATAACTGCAATATATACATGACATATGTGTATAAGGTACATAATACTAAACATCCTCATACCAGATCATCACAATACAGACTTCAGAATCAGGTGCAGACAATCAAAGATACATTAGTCACGGGGCAATCACCGGTCCCCTTTAGAAGTGGTAGCACTTTTTTCTTTGTCAACGACCATTACAAAAAAGTAAATGAAGATGCATTTAAAGTTCTCTAGGACACAGCAAAACAAGAATGGACAGTTCTGACGAAACACAGAAACTTAAAGAAAAGATTTGCTGGTGAGCCACAGCAGCACTAGAAAGTAAAAAGTGGATGTATGGAAAGCAAAATGGGTCATAATTCACATGTTTTGAAATGATCTCTGGCGTCTTATAACTGCAGCTAATTATGTCAACAGGTGTTTAGTAAGTTCCACCTTCATATGAACGGAACAATAAAACTTACACAACTGAAAAGCTCGGAGTGAATGAGAAACATTATTTTCCCATTCAGAGGTGTTGGCTTTTATCTTGCATTAGGTAAACAAGCTGATCGGAAAAAGAAAAACACAAATTTTTGTATTACTAAAGTTTTGGAAAATATCCAACATTGTGTTTGACTTGTGGCCTATGAGACAAAGTTTACAATTCAAATTAGGTTAAAAGAAATGTTAATTTTTTATGGTTTATGTAATAGTTTGATAATCTGATGCTGTTCATGACCTTAGAGCCTTTGAAATACAGTATCATCAGTGGTTTGTTTGTTGTGTCTGCTTATGGGAAATTTAATATTTATTTAAAACAAAAACAAAAAATAAACTTTTTTAAATGAGCTGATTTTTCTTGTAGTACCAAACTGTGATTTATGTGTACAATTATACCTTTATTTTGCATCTACATGTTTAAAACATTTAAATCGAGCCTCGTCACATACTGGGTGACACAGTTCGCTTGCTTTCAATCATTTAAAATGTAAAGCGATTAGACGAGAGGCTAGACAAAATCACAGCCAGCTGCTCAGGATCTCTTTAACCCAGTTCCAGGTCAGTCAAACATGAGAAGGAGGCACATGACACCCAGTGGTCACTGTGGAAACTGAATTCACATCTTCCATGAGCAGACTATGTCACATGTAAATCCTGTTTAAAAGATAGAAACAGGACTTACTGTGACCAGCTGATGCCAAACAGTTGTAAAGGAAACCTTTGTGTAGCACCACTGTAAATATCCGAATATTTAGTAAAAAAAGATATTTATTAAAAATTACCTAAATGTTACAGAAAAAAAGAGGAACTGCAGCAGAAAACAGGAAGTGTGGAAAGAAAAGAGGGTCTTCACTGCCTTGGTATTTTTACTGAAAGGTGTTACTCTGATGGAGAAAATCTCTAAAAAATCTGGGGTCTTTAGTTCTTACAGTAAAGACTAATAATATTTGACATCAAACATTGTTGAAATTGTCCCAGTGACCGCTTGATGTTTTCAACAACTCAACACGTGACAAAGCCGGCTCACAGACAGACTCTGCATACCTGTGGCTCCAAGAGGATGTCCTTTAGAGATGAGACCACCGCTGGGGTTGACCACAAACTTTCCTCCATATGTGTTGTCCCCTCTGTCGATTAGTTCTGCTGCTTTACCTGCAACCACAGCTCAAAGTCAGATTACATGTGCATCACTACCAGAAACTAATAGCTGAATCCACAGCAAACACACCACTGCTGACAAACACTTAAAAAAATACTATTTACTATTTTCATGCTGCTAATAGCTTCATGAAATTTATAATTTTCTCCTATTTAAATTAAAATGTAGCTCTTTTGTTTCAAGCAACATCCACAACCATCAAGCCGCAAAGGATGAAAAAGCAGTTAAGATTTTATTTTTTGAAATGTTCAATGTTTGGGCTCCTCATGTGTTTAAGGAGCTTCTGGTTCCTCTCAGATCCATCGGCTCCTTGTGGAGAAGACAGTGAGAACTTCAAGGTGATCTTTAGTCTAGCAGGTTTTTCTGTATGGGGGATTTACATGAGGAATGTTATGACTAGGCAGCAAGGTGGCGCAACTGGTAGAGCTGCTGCCTCTCAGCGAGCAGGTCCTTTGTTCAAACCCCGGTCCAGGGGCCTTTCTGGGTGGAGTTTGCATGTTCTCTCCGTGCATGTGTGGGTTTTCTCCAGGTGCTCCGGTTTCCTCCCACAGCCCAAAAACATGCAAAACATGCATGTTAGGCTGATTGGTAACTCTAAATTGTCCCTAGGTGTGAGTGAGAGAGTGAATGGTTGTTAGTCTCGTTTGTCTCTATGTGGCCCTGTGATGGACTTGCGACCCGTCCAGGGTGTACCCCGCCCCTCGCACAGTGATTGCTGGACATGGGCACCAGCGACCCCCAAGACCCAAAATGGAATAAGTGGGTAAAGATAATGGATGGATGGATGAATGGATGGATGGATGGATGGAATGAAAAAGCATGTCCTGTCCACTTCCTGGAGACCATTTTCAAGTTGTTGCGGTTTAAGCTGTTCAAATGTTTTTTTTTCTGTAAAATCTGGGTTTAAACACCAGGGGTTGGCATAAAGAAAATTTCCAGGTTGTCCAGTAGACAAACTCTTGACAGAAACTGGTGGTCCGCAACCTTTACAAGAAAGAAGGCAAAAAATCTAAAAAAATAATAATAAAATGCAACTTAAAACGTATATTGCACTATATGTACAAGGTTTACTATATTCATGTTGGTCATCTTGTGGACTGCATGGAATTTCCAAATTACTGAGTGGCCGACTCTTTCAGGAACTGATGGAGTGGAACTTCCTCGTTCTCCTCCTCATCTTCTTCCTTATCATGGAAGCACTCAGTGTATTTTAGGCAGGGTTTAAATCAGAAAAATATATATTTTGACGGATTAATTAATTTATTTTTTTGATGAACTACACAAACACATGTATTTGCTATAATCGGGGATATAAATATATACGTCTTTTAGTGTTCTTAAGTTATTTAATTCAATTCAAAAATACTTTATTAATCCCAAAGGGAAATTATTTGTTGGTTTAACTCGTTATCCTCATTTCATTAAGAGATGTTATAGATACTGATGGCTGTAGGCCGGAAGGATCTCTTGTAAAGGTCCATCCCACAGTGGATCCTAAGAAACTGGCTGCAGATGCCGTCCAATCCATCCACCCAGACTCAGCTGGACTCTCGGTTCCCCTGGGCTGTAGGACCGCCCGAATGCTGGGCAAAACTCCTCCCAGAGCCATGGCCTCTCCTCCCAGCAGCCTGTCGAGCTCCTCGTTACTGCGGACAGCTAACTGTAGGTGTCGAGGGATGATCCTGTCCTTCTGCTGTCGTGAGCCATGTTTCCTGGTAGTTCCAGGATCTCAGTGGTCAGGCACTCGAGCACAGCTGGCAGGTAGATGAGAATGCGTCCACAGAACATCCTTTTCAACCCATTTGAGATTTAGGGCTGTAGTTGAGATATTATTTGAGCTTTTGAGATGTTAATCAGCTGCTGTTGGTTGTAGAAAACTGCCTTGTTGCCATGGTTACATATCATAACAAATGTCTTAAACTAAAAAAGTTTCAGTAAAAATCCTTCCAGCTGCACAGCATCTGATACCAGAGGAAACAATCATCCAAAAAATGTGATTTACATCCAGAAAAAGAGGAATTAAAGTTTCCAAAAGCAAAATCTCAGAATGAAAGTAACAGAGCTGCTCCAACATGCAGCCACCTTGAGCGGCGCAATTCTAGAATTTTATAAGAACTAAAGCCGTAGATGTAGCCTGTTGCACCGTGGGACACACACACAAAAAGGCTGAGTGAGCTCCCGCTGCATCACGTTCTCCTTTGAGGACCAGAAGTTTAGTCACGTGCGCAAGTTGCACGTCTGTACGATGATGACGCTGCTCAGAAGACATTAACGTTTACCACAAAGTTTGATTTTAGAATTTAAAGATTGTGGGGGTAATTGTGTATCAGATCTGGTATCTCCCCCGGTTGCTGTGAATTGGTCGCCTGCAGAAACATACGTTTCATACTTTGTACGTAGACAGGTCAGAGTAGTACGGTGTACTCTTTGGAAAATAATACAGGAAACACTGATTGGTGCTCTCACCTGGAGTGTAAGTTGGGAACACCGTACACAGCCACAGTGTATCAGACAGTGCAACTAGCCCTGCTCTGCTCTGATTGGGTCAAACTGTGGCTCTGGTTCTTTATTTGTTGAAAGAAGCATCAGTTTAATCCCTGTATCATTAGACTGGATGGCTTTAACATGACAACAACAAAAGACACCCCCCCTCCTTCATTTTTACCAATGATAGAAATCCATCATGGCGATGGAGAACTTTAATTCATGTCTATTTCACTCGGTTGTTGACCAGACAACCTTGAGGCAAAATGTGGTTGTCCAAGACAAAAACTGCTAGTCTAGGACAACTGGAAATCACTTATGTTGACCCCTGAACACAACCCTATAAATATGTAACACAGTTTGTACTGAACCGGACCGAGGCTACCACCTCTCATCATGCTGTGAACAGCATCTCCACAGTGACAGCATCAGAAAGCATTTGGTCTTTTTAGAGATTTGAGACTGGGCACCTTCTGTTGGATAAAAATAACCTCTATTCATCTTAACTACTCAAAGAAGCCACACTTCAGACATGAGAAGATATTTTGCCAGTTTTTACTTGCAAGGGCAGACATTCACAAGCTTACACAACAGATGCATCAATGGTGCCCGGTCGTGAGAAACTTCACTGGGCAGTGTGCGAAAATTTATTTATATTCATGCTTATCAGCCCTCACAGACAGTCACTGATGACCTCGGCCACCCAGCTGAACATGCAGGATCAAATCAGCTCCTCTCTGAGAGAGAGAAAAGAACTCTCTGAACCCACACACATGGTTCAACATCAATTTAACATTAGTTAGTGATAAACATCCTTGACCAAAATTCCCATGACACCTTCCAGCAGGACAATGACCCTAAACACACATCTGAAATAACCATCCACTTGTTTAAGTACAACCAGTTAAAAGTCCTGTAATGGTCCCGTCTAAGTCCAGACCTCCGTCCAACTGAGAATCTCTGGTTTGATGTAAAGCTTGTTGGACACAAGCAGCAGCCATCCAACCTGAAGGAGCTGTAGCAGTTTGGTCATGAAGAACGGAGGTTAGATGGACCAAAATCATGAAAACAAACTTAAAAGATCTGTTTCTTTATTTACTTTTAAAAGTGTCTACACAAAATGCAAGTTTATCTGGATTTTATGCAGTCTTGTTTCTTGTTTCACAATATATTTTTTTAATTTCAAATTGTAAAGTAAAAAATGCAAACCCCTCAAAATTAAATTTCAGTGCATCTCACTGTTTTTGTACCTAAAACCCAGCACAAGTTTAACTCAGGTAGAAGGATAAAGAAATCAGCATTAATTCCATAACCCCCAACACACTCAAAAATAGCTGGTGTGCAGGTTTAGGAGCTCCAGCCTTACCTTCTTCACAGAGACCCAACGCCTCATACGTGATAAGCTCATTGGCTGAGAAGCAGTCGTGCAGCTCAATAACATCAACATCACTGGGCTTCAGACCTGCAGCCTCAAAGCACCTTTTAGCTGCCAGCCGAGTCATGTCGTATCCCACCTGGATAGAAACAGGGTTTGAATCATGGCTGTTAAACCTACAATGTTAAAATTAAAATATGGCGCTGTGATCATTAAAAAAAAGAGAGCAGTTCACACATCTTACCATCTTAATGCAGCTGTTTTCATTAAATGTGGACGCAAGGTCAGTCACCATCTCTTGAGCCACAATTTCCACTGCCTGGTTTTCAAGGTGGTGCTTCCTAACAAAGGCTTCACTGGCCAAAACTGCTGCTCCAGCACCATCTGAGGTTGGGCTTATGAGAAAAGAACATGGACCAAGCAGGGAACATAACCACTTATTAGTCTCTACCTAACAGTTTTATTCACCTTTTGATTTCACAAAGAAGACAGTGGCTGCAAATATGTGAAATTCCTACCAGCACTGCAGCAGAGTAAGAAAGTCAAACACTTTCCTGGAGTTCATCACCTGCTCCAAGCTATACTCATCCTGGAACTGGGAATATCTGCAGGGATATGGACAGATATGGCCTGAGGCAAAACAGTCAGCATGCTGCAAACAGCTCAGACCGATCAGATTAAAATCCACACAAACGCAGCTCATTTTGTAGAGTCACTGAGTCTTACGGGTTATTCATGGAATGCTTGTGATTCTTCCAAGCAATCTTGGCAAAGTGTTCTGGTTTGGTGCCTGAACAAAAATGTAAAGACATGCAAGATTAACATTTTCATAAAAGCACATGTTTGTGTTTAAAACCCAGTGTAAATGCCAGAAAAGATATATTGTACAAAACTCTTGAGACAACTGTCATATTGAAAATGATGGCTTTAGAAATAATGAGCCAGACTTGGTTGTACTTGTAGGTTATCCTAATCAGAATTTTTCCAGTTTTAAATAATTTTTTGTTTGTTTGTTTGTGCAAGTGACAAAACAGCATCTCCAAATAAAAATGTACTATTACTATTATTATTATTAAATATGATATTGTTCAATTAAAAATAGTCTCAAGAAAAAAAAATCATGAAATGCAACAGGCAACAAGAACTCCTTCAAATAATGCTAGGTCTTTGATTGACCCTATTTATCAACATCATAGCTCTTGAATTCCCAAAATCATAATCAATTCATTGATTGATACATTGGACATAGTGATGGATTACCATATTTCTCCATGTGCTCCCTGCCAGCGTTGCCAAACATCTGAGGGGCTCCAGGTGCAGCTTCTATCCCATAGCAGTTGATCATCACCTCCATGTGCTTGTCCATTGGGTTGACCCTATCCATGTACTGAAGATACATTTACAGTTTAAAAGAACAAAAGTAAGGAGGTGTCATAACACTTAACTTAGTACACCCGACTGCTCAACACTAGGGGTTCACAACACTAGAGTCTAACTGATATATAGGCAGGACCGATAATTTTTGGACTATATACAGTAGATCAGGGGTGTCAAACTCACTTACAGAAGGGGGTCAAAATTAAAACCATTATCAAACTAAGAGCTGGTTTCAGAATTTACATTAGCTCAAGTTAGATACCCAACATATTTTCTTGGTTGCAGGTTCAAGAGTTTGATTGGTCTCATTTGACGTTTTCTGTTGCATTTTGACATCATAATCAAAGATTACTGAAGAAAATTAAAGTGACAAAAGTAGTTTACATTTAAAATAACATCTTGGAGGCCAGATATGATGTTAAGGAGGGCCACATTTGGCCCCCGGGCCCTGAGTTTGACACATATGATATAGACGTTTGGGGGTCTGTCCGTATCGACGATAATGGTCCCATTATGCCCGATATAAACACTTCTAATTTTCACCCCTAAAATGCTGGGAACCAGCCATAATTGTACAATGTACCCAGCAGAGGGTGCATGAAGACCACTTTCAAGTCATGGTCGTTCATTTTAAGTTTCACAATGTTCAGCACAGATTAAGCAGGGGGCAATACTGTGTTGTAGCGTATTTTGCTGAACAGAGTATGGTAAGTTTATTTTAACGTAATAGCAAAATTAAAAAAAATCTGCAATAAAACATTCTCTTCAATCCTCCAACCCACTTGTCATTAGCTATGTGCCTCTCAAGCTAGCAAGCTAATGTTAATGTGGGTATGCTGTCCTCATAATGTGTGACTATTAGGAATGTGCAACATGGCATGAAATTCATATCACGATATGTGTTGTGAAGGGTGGCGATAACGATATATATCACAATATGTTTTTGGTATAAAACTTGCAATAGGATTTTTTTTTAAAAGCATAGGGTGTCTTTTTGCCATCATTTATTTTGAATTAAGAAAATTCCACTACTAGGTCCAGAGAGTTTTTAAATAATAAACAAATCAAGTATTAGACTTCTTTCTTGTAGTGCAAAACAGTGCAAAATATATCAAATGCAGTTTTAGTCATATGTTTTAAACAAAAGAATATGTTGTTAACTCTTAACAGTTTCCAGTCTTCTCACTTAAGAAATGAACAGCAAGAGAGCAGCAACTGAAACACTTCACCCTCCAACCTTCTAGTGGGCGACCCCTTCCGCTTTAATGGAGAGTTGACACAAAATGACTGTGGCTTTGACCAGAGGGTCTCACAGTAAAACCACACAACACTGCGGTCTTATCACAGATCAGAGAGCAGGTTTCTGTAAAGCTGACCAATGCTTACTTTAACTTTCGACGGGGGGGAAAAAAAAAAAAAAACTTTCGGCGGAACACAGTGTTTTGCGCATGCGTCCGAATACGGCAACACTTTGGCAAGCCAGCCGTAGTTAGCTTGTAGCTTCGCTACTTAGCTCTCGAAGAAAAGACTTTAACGCCTCTTGCACATAGTTTTCAACTCAAAAAAAGTAACGATTAAACTGACAGCTCTGATTTTACTTCAGACACAGCATTACGGCGGTTAGCCGGTAGAAGACAGATCTCTATTGTAGGCTAAATTTCTATCGTTTCTACCGTGTACAGTATATATCGCGCATTCCTAGTGACTATGTGAAGCTAGACAGCCAGTGAACAAAATAAAAGAAGTCCTCAGACAAGGCTTGCTTTCTTGATTTTACTGAAGATATTTTATTTATGAATTTGTAAAATGACAAGTCTCTCAAGGCACAAGCGTGTAGAGCACATTTAGTGTGTATATGAGCGGTTTTCGCCCTTATTTTCTGAAGCACTTGTTTTACTGGAGAAAAGATGTTCAAGATTGTTCTGTGGTGAGGCAAGACCTGCTAACGATGCTAATGAGACCACGCCGCTAACAGAGCTGCTGAAAGAACCTTACTGCTAACCGAACCACACCGTAGATGTATTTCTTTTTCAATTTTGGTGCCTTGGTTTTAGTATTTTAGTAGTATTTTTTTGGTATTTTAGTAGTAATTTTTTTTAGAATTTTAGTAGTATTTTTTTAGTATGTTTTAGTATTTTTGCTGCATGCTTTGGTATCTGGCAATATGACAGCTCAGTGGTTAGCATTGTTGCCTCACAGCAAGAAGGTCCTGGGTTCAATCCCTGGTTGAACCTGGGGTCTTTCTGTGTGGAGTTTGCATGTTCTTCTTGTGCTTGCGTGGGTTATCTTCGGGTACTCCGGTTTCCTCCCACAGACCAAAAACATGCATGTTAGGCTGCTTTAGGCCCAGGCCTCCCTTGCAAAAGAGATCCGTGATCTCAATGGAATTTGCCTTGTTAAATAAAGGTTAATAAAATAAATACACTTCTTGTTTTTTTTTGTTTGGGTTTTTTTGGCGAGTCGAGACAGTTCTTCTCATCCTCAACATTTCATTGCATAGTTGACTTTGTGTTGATTTTGCATATAAACCAAACCTGAATCTGAGCACTCACTGACCTCACATCCTGCACGTACAATATGACAAAGATCAGATGTCTCACTCTGATTGGAATTCAAACCCAAAACATTTTAACAGTTTTTAGCATGAATTTACTTAGACTAGTTATTAACAATGAAAATATTTATCACCTCATTTATGTAACTTACTCACATGATAATAAATAATCTTTTAAACCCTTTTCAGTCAGGTTTTAGGAAGCAGCATAGCACTGCAACTGCTGCTCTAAAAGTTTTAAATGATGTGTTTGAGGCACTGGATTCTAAAAAGGTTTGCTGTGTTCTGTTTATTGATTTATCCAAGGCTTTGATATGGTGGATCACACTATCCTGGTAAAAAATATTCTCAAACTGGGCATCTCCAAAGAAGAATCTTACTGGTTTGGAGATTATTTGGCAAATAGGACAGTGTGTACAGATGGCTGGAGTAAGCTCAAGTTTTCTTAACGTAAAAAAGGGCGTACCCCAGGGCTCTGTCTTGGGGCCCATCTTATTTACAATTTACATTACTGCACTGTGTGAAAATTTGCAAAATGCCTCCTACCACTTTTATGCTGATGATTGTGTAATTTACTGTTGTTCAAATTCAATTGATCAGGCACTTAAATTCATACAGGCTGCTTTTGATGAGGTGCAGATTCATCTTGAGCAACTAAAATTGGTCTTAAATGCTGATAAATCTAAAATAGTGGGGGGTTTTTTCAAATGTATCTGTCCCATTAGAGAATATTCCTCTAATAAAAACTGCCCCAGGTAAAGTTCTCGAGAGGGTCTCCTGTTATAAATACCTGGGCTTAATCATCGATGAGGAGCTTTCTTTTAAATCTCATGTGAAACACCTAATCTCCAAATTAAGGGTGAAGCTCGGGTTCTTCTTTAGAAACAAATCATGTTTCTCCCTTAGAGCAAGGAAGCTTTTGATCACGAATACTTTTTTGCCAGTACTTGACTATGGCGATGTTGTTTATATGTGTGCTTCAAGCAGTTGTCTAGAGTCATTGAATCCAGTGTACCACTGTGCATTAAGATTTATTACTGGTTGTAGCTACCTTACTCATCACTGTGATCTCTATCTTAAAACCAATATCTTCCATGTTTAACAGGCAACATGTGCATTGGATGACTTTGGTTTATAAGTCTCTTATTGGCATGCTTCCACATTATTTATGTACTTTTATATGAAGAATGGACAGTAGTTATGCCTTACGCTCTAAGGACTGTTGGCATCTTCATGTTCCTCGTGTATGAACAGAAAAGGACAAGAAAGCGTTTAGCTTTTCTGCCCCCTCAGCTTGGAATGCCTTGCAAGCTGAATTAAAACTGACAGAACTTGTTACTTTGAGTGCTTTTTGCAAACTTTTAAAAAACCGACAAGGGATATCTTGTCAACAGTAGCTGTGTTTTAGATCTTAAATTGTTATTGTTTTAAATAATTATTGCCATTTACTGTTATACTTTATGTTTTATATTTTTATATATTTCTGAAGTCTTCATAATCTTGCTACTTGTTGTGTTTTTTATGACGTGTACTGCTGCTGCCTGTTCTTGGCCAGGTCACCCTTGTGAAAGAGGTCTTGATCGCAATGGGTTTTTATCTGGTTAAATAAAGGTGTAATAAAAAATGATGAACTTATTACCGTCTTTGAGAAAAAGGCGGGACAGTTGGACTAATTAAAGCGTGGATCTGATTAGCTTAGCTTCATGGTTGCTAACAGCTGCGCTAAATAAACAAGCACCGCTCCACTCGCTGTTTACTTAGCTTCTTGGTAGTGGACAAAGCGTAAAATTTTTCAGTCATTATATCAATTATCAGTGGTCGCCTACCCCTTCAAATATCGATATCGGTGATAGACAAAATTTCCATATCGGTTGGGCTCTACACAATACATCAAAAGTTTATTAGCACAGTGTGCAATATCAATGCTGCAAAGAATTACAGCAGTATATTGCCAAAATATTTGGAAATCAAACGAATCCATACTATCTTAAATTTCCCAAGCTGATTTAGGAGAGTGTTGCTGAAATGTTAAAGTTAAATGCTAAAGCAACACTACAGTAATCACTATAGAGAAAAATGTGGGTTTATCACAAGTGGTATCATCTTCCCTGTTTTTAATATTGTCACAGATGCACATTTTCCTAATATTGTGCAGTACTATATAAAACACTTCCTCTAATAAAGTTAACTACCATTAAAAATCTACCAAGAAAATAATGATGTAAGAAGTTTTTCAACACTGAAGGAACACTACTGTGTCTCGTCAGTGAGTCAGTTTAGAAGGAGGATGTGCGTTGACCATAGGCGTCGCAACCATTATATGTGAAGGGGACAAGTCCCCCCACATTAAAAAAAACGTTCATTTAGACCTCCCCACTTTTACTATAAAACATTAGTTCAGGAGGCGCAGTTTATTTTTCTTTGTGAACGAATCCATTCCACTTGATTAATAGGAGAATACTCAAACCACTAAAACTCCACTCCAGGTTTTCCTGGTTACCTCCAACTCTCCACCGTCCCTTCCTGTCTCCTGTCTCGGCAGAAAACGCGCACACGTAGAGGAGATGGAGACACCTCTGTGTTACTCGCTCACCAGTTTAGCAGCTTAGTGCGGGCAGTTAATGACCAGGGCATTGATCAGAAACATATATTCATGTTAGGAGGAGAGAAGTGGAGCGCTACGTCTATAGCATCTTAGCTTAGCAGTAACTGTGACGCTGTAAGTCGCTGCAGGTGTAAGAGACGCTGTGTGTTCAGGTGCATTAAAGTTGAAATGTCTTTAAAACCCCACACCTTATTGTCCTCAAGTTCATGAGAAACATAATTTAGATGAGTAGTGTTGAACACAAGTAAAAAAAAGTCCAGTGGTGATGTTTTTTATTTCTCTATAAACACAAATAGTGCCGATCTGACGCTCTGTATTAAAGTGTATTAAAGTAGAAATGTCTTTAAAATCCACAGATGAATTTACACAAACTTGGTGAGAAACATGTTTTAAATGGGTGGAATTAAAGGAAATCCAGGTGAAATGTTGCTTTTTGTTCACTAGTGAACACATTTTTTTTTACGTGCACACACACGTGCACGTGAGCACACATCTACACACATCATTGTGTCCCCCCCACATTACGGATGCTTCTGACGCCCTTGGTGTTGACGCCAACTGAATCTTTTCAACAAGAATATCCAGACATGAAAAACTGAAGGTGATGAACAGAGCAACAACAGCAACTGTCTGATAAAATGCCAAGATACTGCTTGAAATCCAGTAAAGCACAATGAATACCTTGGAAGACAAAGAGCCCCTCTCCATCTTTTCAAAACCAAGTGCGAGCACACATTCAGCCAGACCTGCCAAACAACGAGAGACGTGCACAGAGAGTGATCTTAGACACTGTTTTCATTCATCATTCATGTAATTTTCTTCTGCTGTCACATCAGACTTTATTAACAGATTCAAAAAAGTTCAAAACAAAAACAACTGGACTTTATTTGTAACAGAAGAGGTTTCGAATCCCATCCAAGATGTTTTCTCAATTCAAAGAGCAGGGAGTGTGGGGTTTGAGTTTTAAAGCTGATCTAAGCTAGATACATATGCAGATTGCTCTATCACTCCTCACAATAGGGGTTTGTTAGGGTCTCTAACCCCTACTGCAAGGAGTGATAGTAGGGCTTGATTTGTAAACTGATCGGCGTTGGAATGCAAATAGCAGGCGGGCTTGTCAAGATCCTACACCCCCCCACACATACACACACACACACACACACACACACACACACACACTCCCACTTACTTGACGGAATTGTCATGCAAGTCGGGCTCGGAAACGAGCCCTGCTCTGTCCCTGCTCAGTTGTCTGACTCCACCCCCACCACTCTTTTAGGGGCAGAGATTGTTTTAAGGGTAGATGTGGAAATGCTACTTAAAGAGGCAGCTATTGTGTTTAAAATGAGTGTTTATGTCATTATTTTCAGTTTACATATACAATTTAAGTTTTATACGTTCAAAGTAGTCATATTTGTTCATAACTTTATTAGTAAGCCTGAGAGTTCCCGGATCCTGTTCCGGCAGGATCTGGCTCAAATTAAGCACTGAGTGATAAGGCAATCTGCATATGCATCTAGCTTACCTCAGCTTTATAACTCAAACCCCTCACTCTCCGTTCTTTAAAATGAGAAAGCTTCTCGGATGAGAAGCGAAACGTCTTCTGTTACAAATAAAGTCCAGTTGTTTTTGTCTTGAACTTTTTTTTAATCTACCCTGTCCTGGATGACTGAGAATCTTCACCAGCTTATTAACAGATTAACTTCCTTCTTCTTTCTGCACCCTTTTCAGTAAGTGTTTTTTTCTTTTTGATGAATTTGTTTTGTTTATTTTAAATTAATTAATAAATAAAAAAACAGATTATTTTAAACTTTACATTTTAAATAGCTACACAGTGCTGCTAGACCCACCTCCCTGGATCAGCTGACGGCCCAGGAACAGAGCAGTGGAGCCTGTGGAGCAGTTGTTGTGCACGTTGACAATGGGGATGCCAGTCAGACCCAAACTGTGGTAAATGGCTCTCTGTCCACATGTTGAGTCCCCTGAAACAAGTGCAAAACAAGCTGTCATCGCTCAATTATTTTACTTAATCTACTCAGAAAATAAAACTACAATAGGCAGATGGACATTTTTATACGCTTCCTTAAAAAGTTATACGTTGGGTGGGACTGGGCACTGTAAAATCTCTTATTCATTGAATGTGATTATGATACAAAGCATAACATTTAAGTGCAAGTCTCACCGTAGACATATCCCACACAGGCTTGTTGAATAGCTGAATAAGGAATCCCTGCATCTGCAAGAGCTTTTTCACCTAAACATGGTCAGACAATGAAGAAACATTGGTGTATTTTATTTTAGGGGTTGATCCAAACACAAACAGTACTGATCAAGCATCTTACATCGTTCATTTGTTTTGATAATAAAACTGAAAACAGGTGCATCATTTTATCAAGAGAATAAAAATTAAAAATAAAATCTCAATAAACCTACACTGTATCACCACTCACAAGGACTACATATCCCAGAAGCCAACAGTACCCCGCCCAGAAGCCCTGTTGCCTTCTGCTGAAATACGTAGAGGGAAAGTTTTGATCTGACTGGAAAAAGTTCGGTCCTTTACAGTGACTTCGGTGCCCAGCGGATGCAGAGAGTCGCACAGAACCCACAGAGAACTGGACCGCCAGACCCACTGGCGAATCCGAGAGCTGGTAGCCGGCCCACGAGGACTTCTGAGTGGGGGACGCGTCGATGTAGGTCCCCCGTAATAAACGAAGGACTACGACATAACAAATCTACTGAAATTCTGGTTTTGTTGTCCCAACCCAGGATTTTCACGCCCCCACCCCACATGGTCACCCCATTAAAAAAACCTGAAGGTGCCACTGGGTCTCACTCTGCTTCTTAGAACAAGCAGTTCCATCATATCAAGAACAACCAGAGTGTTTAGCAGATTTGTTCCTCAACAATAATGCAGTTGGATCTCGAGACTGGACCAGATAAACCTCAGCTCATTTCATTATATTTATATTTACAGGTACATTCTGTGTTTTAAACTGTATTTTACCACAGACCGTGATAGAGGCCCCACAGTGCACGTCTTCCTTCACACATAAACAACATTGTCCCAGTTTAACTTATCCACAATAAAGCAGTAAAAACAGTGTGTAAAACAAGCACCTGCTTCTTTGGCCATTTCTGGATAGTCATAGTTGTCTCTGGCTCCAGGTTTGTCAAACTGCAACAAAACACAGAAAAGTCAAACTAATAAAAAAAAAAAAAAAGAAAAAAGTGGTTTTCTATTTTAAGTTAAAATAATTCATATGATTAAGACTGGGCAGCACGGAGGCACAGTTGGTAGAGCTGCTGCCTCTCAGCGAGCAGATCGCCAGTTCAAATCCTGGTCCGGGGGCCTTTCTGGGTGGAGTTTGCATGTTCTCTCCGTGATGCATGGGTTTTCTCCAGTTTCCTCCCACAGACCAGAAACATGCATGTTAGGCTGATTGGTAACTCTAATTTGTCCCTGGGTGTGAGTGAGAGAGTGAATGTTTGTTTGTCTCCATGTGTCCCTGTGATGGACTGGAGACCAGTCCAGGGTGTACCCCGCCTCTCGTACTGTGATGGCTGGACATGGGCACCAGTGATCCCCGTGACCCAACACGGAAGAAACGGGTAAACATAATAGATGGATGATCAAGACAATCATTATAAAGCGTGAAGTTGCAGCGTCACGTCTCTTTAACTCCTAAACTAGAAACTTCAGTCTTAACAACTTTGTCTTTATGTTTGGCTCCACCTCCTCCTAAAAACATCTTTCTGTGAGTCTGATGGACAGCTACATCACAACACCAGCTGTGAACCCTAGCCCAAATCAGTACGAGTTCCCAAATGTCGCTGCATCTTAAAATTTAAAGCACAGTAATAAACCAACACCAGCTCAGGGTTTAATGAGCCTTCATTTAAGCAATTTATAACCAACGACTGGCTGTTGTTTCACACCAGTCTGTGGAGCTTTACAGCTCAGTTTAATGTGTGACTCGAGACAAGACTGTGTGTTCAAACTGTTCGTATTATCAGTTCAGGACATCCGTGTTAACTGGCATTCAATAATTACCCCTAAAATTGTCCTGACGTATGACAAGTGATCAGACCTGTCAGCTTTGTGTTTATGTGCAAATAAACAGTTTGTCCAAACAGACATGACACCAAGCTGCACACTTCTTTAAATAAAGCCATTAATTATTCTTCAATATAAGTTGAGCACATTCTGACACCTTAAAGCAACTTTTTTTTTTTTTGTAATAGTCAGATCCTATTTGGAAATAATTTATTAACTGCATTACTGATCGTTAAAAATCTTTGGATTAACCCTGCAGATGTCGATCCCCACAGACAAAAATAATCATAATCTTCACTAAATAGTTCAAGCAGCTGTCAGTGCAGCTCTCATGAGAACATATGTTTATTATTACACGGTGCAGTACGCTGCAGTCGCACTCTGCATGGCACTTCTCTTATTTATCGTCCCCTGTGGCAGAATCACCTCTGCATGAACAGCTTTTCCCTGTAATGACAATGAAGCTGTAGTTCCACAGAAACTACTTTTCCTGTGTGTATACTAGTATAGTAAGCCATCAGCGCCAAAGACAAGTGAATTTTAACGTGACTTTGATGCATAAACATGTAACTACACATACTTTATTTGTAGCTAACACGTTGATTGACGCATAGATCTGGCTTGTTTGTGGTTCTTTTGGTCAACTGCACTTCCTGGAAGATGGAGTCGCGTCTCGTCGTTGGCTGCTCAGATCCAGGGTTGAACCACTTTGGCAAAAGAGGGGGGGGGGGCTCCTCCCCCCATTCAATGGTCAGATAACCTGTTGTTTTTCTGCTTCTTACTTTGTATATTTTAATGCTGTAAACATAACATGTCATTGTGCAAGATAAAATGAAAAGTCACATGTCCTTGACCCAGTTGTCTTTCAATATAATAGATGAGCAGCAAAATCACATCAGTAAATATTAAATAAGTGGCTGTTATGTGCTTGTTCTTTCTTAGAAGAGCTGCTTTAACACAATCAGGTGAGTCTTTACAACTACATTCACATTTTCACACTTGTTTTTGTGGGTGGTTATTATTATTATTTATTATTATTATTATTTGTAACTTTTTTACAACCTTACTACTGGTGAAAACTATGCACTATTTCAGCCATTCATATGACAAAATGTTCAGTTTTAGCATTTTTAATACTTAATTTTTTTTATTTACAAACATTTCCCCTATAGAAATACAGTACAGGAAGATCTCTGATATCTTTAAAACACAAAACTCTTGTTTTTGAAATCTGATTCTGCAAACCAGCTCCGTTTGTCTTTGTGTGATATTTTTAACTGATCAATGCTACTTTCCATGCCACGCTGCTGCTTTTAGCTACCATTCTGACACTTTTAACTAGCCTTATGCTAAATGTAGCTGCTGTTCTGCTACTTTAAGCTTCTATTTTGCTACTTTAGCTTTTAACTAGCCTTCTGCTACTTGCACAATGCATAATAAGCAGTTATTAACGATTTATAAAGTGTTTATAGAGGAATTAATAACATATCTATACACTATTTATTAGCATCTATAAGGGGAGTCTTATTGTAAAGTGGGACCAAAATTGTCGACCAGTTTTGTGGTTTGTTCAACATGTTTTGTTAATAGACAGGTTAAGGTGTGCCAATTGCACTGAAAACATGATTAATATTCTCCAAGTGTTTAAAAAATAATTTGTGCACATGTTTTATTTAGTAATTTTATGTTAAACTGTGGGAGGCAGTGGTTAGGTCAGGGTTGACTTCTGGTCCAGAGAGAGTGCATTCTCTTATTCAGCACATACAATACAATCTGAATGAATATGGAACTAATTTAATACGACAGTGTGATGTTTCGTCATTACTTACCTGGCAACCATGTCAATAAACTTTGTAGTTAGATGAACTCTTTGGACTCTGATCTTCAGATGTTGCCACAGAGAATCAGCATGATATAATCAGAAATGTGTTGCTACTTAACACTTTTAAAGTGTTTAAACAGCTTTAAATTGTTAATTAAAAAAATAAACCAAATTACTACGATAGTATTTGAGCTGTGTGTGCACATTTTAAACACTCTACGGGTAACACAAATACTGCCAGGTGGAATTAAGTCTGAACAGCTCAGATAAAACTTGCACGATGCAATTTGGAGTTAGCTAACAATGCTACAAACAACAAAGCACCAGTCAGAAAAAGCTGCGATGCTAAAGTAGTAAGCTTTATACGATAGTATTACCTTTGTCATGCCAACCCCGATGACAAACACCTTGTTCTTCTGTTGAGGAGCCATTGTTGCAGATAATCTCTGAATGCTTGAAAACCAGATTTCACTTGACAAGAGCTGCCTCAAACGTCACAGCAACTTAACAAAGGTTGTCTATGAGAAAGAAGATGTGTCACTTTGAAAGAACTGGCCAATGGAAAAAAATGCAGACGCACACAAAGATTGTCTATTTATAATTTCATGTATCACTACAAGTTAAAATCATAGGGGACAAGACAAAAGGACAGACATCAACATAACTTTATCAATTATTAAAGGAAAGTTTCTTCTAAGACATAAAGAAGGTAGAATTTTACAGTTATTTCCATAAACACACGGATATTTGAGAAATCTAAGCAAAAACTGGACATACAATTAAACTGCATGATAGAAACACGCTACTTTGTATATACAGTATATATATATATATATATATTTTTTTTTTTTCATTTAGCCTTTATTTATACAGGTAGTCTCATTGAGCCACGAGAACTCATTTTCAAGAGAGACCTGTTTAGAGAGCACATGGTGGGG